TTGAAACGCGTCGTAAGACTGTCTGTACGCTTGACAAAGTTGGCTGGCCACTTCTGCCCAACCTGGCCAGCGCCGCGCGCAGCCAGCAGCTTATCAGCCATATCGCGCACAGCAGCATACGTGGGCGCAAATCCACGTAGATCTAGATCAAGTATATGATCAACTATCACCTCCTCTTCTAGCTTAGTGAGCTTCTTTAAGTTAGGCTAGCAATCGCGTCGAGCAGGTATACCAGCGCGTCGGCGGCGGATTGTTCGTTCAGACACGTTGTAGACAGCAGCAGCGCGACGATTACTTTGTGTTTAATAGAGATTAATAGAAGAAATAGCAAGCTGAATATCTGCTTCATTTAAAGCTAATTGAGTAGCGCTACGTTGAGCTATTGTTCGTTGAGATAGGAGAGGTGCGCAGGTTTGGTGGGGTGCGGCGCTCGCTTACCTGCGGCGCTCGCTTGCCACATACGTTATTCAAATAAAAGAATATTCATACGAAAAAAATAGACTAGTCACTCGTCCGCATCCGCCCATAGGCATTCTTCCGTATCGTGAACACCACCAGCAGACGAGGGAAACCAGTCCTGCTCTATGATACATAGATGACTAGACTTGATGCTGCATCATGATACTGTATTCAAACAGTGTTGCCAAGAGAGCTTTAAAATCAATATACACGATTCGTCGAGTGGTGTTCGGCATCCCAGTTCCCAGAGGCAGAATCATTACGACACCCGCCGAGTGTGTATCCAAGTGGAAAATAAGAATAAAAAGGTGCAAAAACGAGACATGCGGCTTTTGTATTCATCGTGACCCGTCAGAGTGGGCGTTCAAGGCTGCTGATGGCCAGGAGAGGTTTACGCCTCCAGGGCTTCGCGTCGGCCGTGAGGAAGACCATAGGGCCGATCCCAAGTGGGCAATTGGGGGTCGGCCTCGGCCTCACGCTTGCCATGAGGCAGGCCGTATGGGCGGGGCCAAGTCGGCAGTTGAGGTTCTGCTTCTGCCTCGCGCTTTCCATGAGGCAAGCCGTATGGGCGGGGCCAAGTCGGTAGTTGAGGTTCAGCTTCAGCATTGCGCTTCTCGACATCCTCAAACTCTTCTGGAACCTCAACTAGCTCAGGTTCAGCCTCGACGGGGGAAGCTACGGCTTCAACGGGAGCTGGGATGGCGGCACTGGAAACAGTGACTGCCAAAATGGCGGAGGCAATAACAGCGTTGAACCTCATCGTGTCGAGTCAGACTGTTTAGCTGCTTGATGAAAGTTTGAGTTTTGAATAGATCGACTTGCGACCAAATGATTGACGGTGGTCGTTGAAGGTGTAGTCGGCGATGACAGATATTCGTGCTGAGAGCAAAAGGTACTTATGTGGAAGGAGATGAGGACTAACAAAGGGGGTCAAAGAGTCTATTGCTGTCAATAACTTGAATAAACACAGTGGCGATCAATAGAGCAAAGAGTGAGGTCAATGGTCTGTCCATCCAATAGCAGAACATGAATCCAGGTGAGTGCGAGGCCGCCAAAGGGATTACTTTGAATGGGACTAGGCCTTTCCAGAAGAACAGAACTTGACGTCGAAACCAGGCCATCGAGGGCTAGATGCGTCTGATGACGACGATTAGTTTGTTTCCAGGGCATTCCGAGCCTCTTCTACCGACCAGCGGCTTCTAAGGCTAATGAATTCCCTCAACTGACAAAGAATCTGCTACTGTAATCAATGAAGCCGTTGTTGTGGAGGCGTGCTGTTGTAATTTCCTCTTTTGGGTCTGAATAGGTTCAATGGCAACTCATGCTTGGCGCAAACCACGGGCGTCCACTTCAACACCATAGCCCAGATTTCCTCTCAGTAGAGCTTTTACCGTTTCTGAAACACTCTCTGCGGATTGGATTAGAGTATCAAACAAAAACTAGGAAATATGCTTGGATTGATGCGTTTTGCCTTACAACATCCATATGCGGACAAGGACTATTACATGGCTCAGCTGTCCAATACGTGCTGTAGCTACCGAATGAACCGGGATGACCTTCCTCATACCCATGCAGTTGAGGAAACTCTGAGAGAAAGATTTGTGCCATCGTGTTCTTTACCACAAGCAAGTGACTGGTCCAAGGCGGATACATGTGCTGAAGAAAAGTTGACCAACAGCGCCAATGTGGAAGGCCAGCTGTCTGAAGTATGCAGCCCAAGTCATGCTTGGCATAGCTGTAAAAACCACATATGCATGTGAACTGCTCGTATCATTCTATGGATGGTCATTAATGAAGCTCGATGCGTCGTGAGGTGATCGCTCATTAAGCTAAGAAGCGCAACATGTGGCTTCACGTTACCGTACACGGCCATTGCGTGCAACAGCTCAATCAATGCAATGCTTTCACTAGTATATCCCTATGTTTTCAAGCATAATCTCCATGGAAACTTGAATTATGTCATGTCTTTCAGGTCAGCTTTCCTAGGACAGTATACCTCGTCTTGGCAGGTTCCGTATCCCCAGATAAACACACTCATTCCAATTATGTAACAAGCAATCTATATATCAAAGTATTGTCCACGAGAGACCGATACATAGCGTATCTTAACTTATTTAAGCACGATATGTCAGGCTAAATGGCACCGTCTCGGCCTCGTCATAGTCCCCCTGATTATCCGGATCTCCGAAGATACGAAGCGCTCTAATAAGTAGCTTATACTGGCCATCCGGTACATAAGACCCATCATCCAGCTGACCCAGCCAAGACCAACTGGTTTGCCCCCTCGCTAGATATCTCTTCGGAAATCCGTTGATGCTTCCTAAGCTAGCAACACCTAATATAAGCTTGCTGTTTGAATTGGGCGTCAAATAAGGAATAACATCGACTCGAAGAAGGGGCGAGCCAAGAGCTAGATTGACGCTGATAGTTCGAACAACAAGCCTGGAGTCATTACGCATGGCTTCACCCTGCGTGAGCTCATAGCGTGTCCCATTCAGAATTGGAGAAGCTTCAGCATCCGTTGAATTGGACAAAAAGCCCTTGGCAAGGACAGTTGCATTCCGCATGGATCCAGATACTCCCATGAATGGAAGAGAAAGTAACTCGCCATTTGTCGCATCAATCGTGATAAATCCAGAATAAACGCCAAGGCGAGCGGCATCCAAAAGCGGTGGAGTTATGGACACCTCAACGAGCTTAGACTGACCAGCTGGCACGGTGATGACGTTTTCAGAAAACTGAACATAAGCAGGGTCTTCCGACAGCTCTGGCGGGAATTTTGCAGGATATATGCTTTTGGGAGGCAAGGTGTATGCTGTGGCTGCTTTTTCAGCGCTCAAGCGATATGAGACATCCACGTGTCCAGAATTGCGAATAGAAAATCTCGTGGAATGATTGAAATGCGCAGTATCGTTTAGCAACAGGCTCGACGTGGATAGAAGCGTAGTGCAATATGTGGCGTCATACGCCTGAATCATCCCACTACCTTGCTGGGGAACCGGTGCCAAGTAAGGAAAGGTCGCGGTACCGTTGTTGAAGTTGGTTGGTTTTGCAGTTGTTGAGAGGATGTTTCCCAAAGTTATAGGGTCGAATGTTTGCCTGACTTGGGCGACTAACGCGTAAATGGCTGCTACGAGAGGACATGCCATTGAGGTTCCGGAAAGAACTGCGAAACCGCCTTTGGCAACTGGATAAGTGGACAGTATCCAACCTCCAGGTGCCCCAAATTGTGGTTTTATATCCAACTCAAATGTTGGCCCCCAGCTGGTATACGCGCTAACGTATCCGCCACTTGAGTTATTCGTACGGAAGGTTAGGAGGTGGGACGCATTCGCGGGGTCAGCAATGTTGACCACAATTTTCGACCCATTCTTGAGCATGTCAATAAAATTTTGACCCTGATCGGCAGAAATCATTCCAGCTCCAAGCAGACCGTCTATGGCCATCTCGGGTGCGTAAACACAGTCAGTGTTACTGTAGAACATGATGTATCGAGCACCTCTCGCCACAGCATTCGAAGCTTTCTGAGAAAAGTCACAATTACCTCTCCTGATCAGAGTAATGTAATTGGAGAGGTCCGTTGTGTTTGCTGGAAGGCTTTCACATGCGTCGTTGGAGTTGCTGTGATCATAATTTAATGCCACCAACGGGAGTGAGAGACTGGTCCATTTGGATGGATGGCCAGCGGTCCAGTAGAACGGTATTTCCGAAGAATTGTTCACGGAATACTCTGCTTTAGCCCAAAAGGTGGGAATTTGTGTGTTGTCGTATGAGCCCACGGATGCAACGTTCTTGCCATGTGCTGCGCCACTGGGCATGAATAAACCGCCCTGGCCGTCGTTTCCAGTAGACATAATGCAGGGAATTCCTGCAGCGACGATTCGCTCAACCGCCAAAGTCCATGCATCATAAGGCCACCCGCCGGCATCGCCAATAGAAGCAGTAATAATGTTACTACCATCTTCGGCGGCTTTCGTGAATGCAGCGATAAGAATATCAGTTGAGACGCCTCGCCCACGACACCCATATTATTATTATTATTAATCTAGTTTAACGTCCTTTTTCAGCCCAAAGGGCTATATAAGACGTGTAGGGTTTTTAGGCCTACAAGTATCTAAGTAGGTTATTTTTAGCTATAATATTTAGCAGGGGTTTTAACTAGATAAAGGTAAGGCTCGTAGCCTATTAGTTAGTAGGTAGGGGGTAGGATAGAGTAAGGGAGGTGTATAGCTACCTGTTACAGGTATTACTCCTCGTTTTCTATGTTTCTCTTGTACTAGGCTTATGTTTTAGCCTTTGTTTCTTAAATAAAGGTAATAGTTGCTTCTATACCCTCTTTTGTTTAAAGGAGGATAGGTAGTAATAGATCGCCTTTGCAGGCTTCTTTTAGTCCTTTCCTTTCCTCTCTATATAGATTACATCTAAATAGAATATAAGGTAGGTCTTATATAGACCTATATTTATTGTTCCATTAGAGTCTAGTGAGCTCGAGGCTATGTAAGACTTTGGCCGAGGCCGTTCTAACTAGATTTATTTACAAATACGAGTTTGTGCTTGAAGTGTGTCTGTGGTGCTTCGGCCTTTGTCTAGGTAAGCGATAGCTATCGCTTACTAGACGCCTAGTGCTAAAGAGCATTTTGATAACAGAAAGAGATGTTAGAAAGCAAAGTCAATCCTCCAGCGGGCTCTTTTAGGGATAAAAAGAAAAAGTTTCGACTTAGGTAGTTTTAATGAGTAACTCTCTCGTTCATTTTTAATGAGTCTTCATCTCAAGTTTTAGTGAGTAACTCTCTCGTTTCGACTTAGTGCCCAGCGAGTAGCAGCTGTCTTGGCGTTTCGACTTGGTGCTTCTACAGAGGTAACCAGTCTCTGTATCAGCGTTTGGATTTGGTGCCACAGTAGGCGAATACTGTCTCGGCGTTTCGACTTATTTTGCCATTACAGACTAGAAAACTGTTATAGCGTTTTTGAATTTTGTGCCATAGTAGGCAAAGACTGTCCTGGCGGTTAGATATGGTGGCCACAG